AGAGCCAGCCACCCTCCAATCCACATCACATCATCTCCCCTAGATTAGCCATAAGGATCCTGCCAGTGGTTCTCCAGCCATCACTCTGCCCCGACATGCATTTCACACAGAAGATCGAATGACATGAAAACAAGTTAGATCACATCATTCGTCTGCCGCACACCCTCTAACCACAGCCAGCATCCCTTCTGAACTTCAAGACTGGGCACCATCTGGCTCCCTGCCCACCTCTCTGCCTCTCTCCCCCTTGTTCACAGTGTGCCAGCCTCATGTCTGGGACTGTGACCCCAGGGCCACACAGCTGGCCATCTAGAGAGAGCCTGGAGCTGAAAAGCAAGGCAGAACTTGAGCTGGAAAATGTATGGGATTGAAGTTTCACTTTAAGATAAACATTCCCCTACCCAGAAGCTAGGGGAGACCAGAAAACCACTCCTTGAACCTGGGGGGAAAGTTTTTCTAAGAGGAGGAGATGGTGGTGGCATGAAGGAGGGTGGGCTTGCAGAAACACGGTTTCTGGTGGAAGCTAAGGGGTCAGAAACCTCAGCTGTTGTCCCACAGCTAGACGGTGAGCAGGTGAGTGAGTCCCCAGTCAGGTGGCTGCAACCGCATTTGATTAATCTTATTTGGTTTTCCCTTGACTTACGGCTCTGACCCTCCATTAGAGTAGAAGCTCCTGGGACATATTCACCTCCGTAGTTCCCTGTCTCCCCAGCGGAACCCTGCACAAAGGTGGCAGGGAGAACGTTTGCTGAGTGTTGTGAGCAACAGTCCTTTCTCGCCAGTCACGCCTGGTAGAAGCACCCCAATTTTCTTCTAGGGCACGCTCCCTTCCCTGCTCTCACCCATGTGCTCCACGTAAGGGCTCACTCCGTCCCTGGCTCCAGAACTGGACACATGGCTCAGGCCCAACCAAGCAAAACATCCCTTTCTCCCGACCACACTTCTGGATCAGGAATGGGCAAGCGACCATTCCAGGACTGGGGAAACGAAGGAGACTGAAGAGGGGATAAAGGCAAGTGCTCTTCTGCTAAGGCTGCAAGAAGCAAGGATGCTGCAGGCTTGAAGCTGCTGAAGGCCCAGATTTAGCCAACACACTCAAAGCCGGAGACAGGTTGGGAGAGGTCAGATCCTGGTGACATGCTTTAAGCCCCTGAATCCAGCTGAGTCAGAAGCCATTCGTGTCACTGGATTCTTGAATCATCTGAGCAGATAATTTCCATTTCTTGTCTAAGGCAATTAGAGTACCTGTCACTTGCATCCAAAAGAGTCCTGACAGATGAATGAATGAATGAATGAATGAATGAATGAATGAACCAGAAAACACCAGCATAGAGGAAAGGATTTCTGTGCTAGGAGCCAAGACAGTGTCTTGCCATTTACTATGTGACACTGGGCAAGTTGCCTGATGTCTCTGGACTTCAGTTTAGAACTCTGATATCATTCATTTATTCAACATTTATGGGCATAAATCATGCCAGACATCATGCTAAGTGTTGGCTCTTCCATGGTAACAAAACCCTCATGGTTCCTGTTCTCATGAAAATGGAAATGAAGTTCACTCTTAGAAAAACAAAGTGACATTTCTGCAAACCTGATTTTGTCACCGGGAAATGTGTTTGTGGTACAAGTCTCTAGCACTTAGTAACTGGTAATGATCTTGTTATTCCTTCCACTCCTCATCAGCGACTTTTGGGGTTAGATGGAGGAGGGGTGGGAAACCAAGCCTCATATGATCAGAGAGGAGGGTACCCAGGCTTCACTTCCTTCCTGAAGCTCATGGCCAATCAGAACTAATGTTTATGAGCCTAATTATACACAGCACTGAGCTAGAGGGTGTAATGAGAGCCTGGCTTGGGCCTGGGTCCTATCCTTTGGGACCTTTAGCTCTAAGAATAGCCAACGTGCAAACAAGTACATTTTTTCTGGCCTCTGGCAAGGAGACTTTTCTGAGTCAAATATGCTCATCAATGTTCCCAAGAATCAGGCTTAGAAATGGAGCTACTTAAGCTCGATCGCTTTCAATATTGTTATAAAGAATTAATAATGCCAACTGAAGTTGGATTTTTATTTTTAAAGGGAATTCACAACTTGGGTTGAAATGGCAAAATGTGCGACATAAATAAGCCCAGTATCCAAGTGGAAGCTTAGCAGGCCCCAAATAACCAGAGTTCTATCCCACCTTCTAGGATTTCATTTGCTCATTCATTTAATAAATAGTTATTGGGCGCCTGGGTGGCTCAGTCAGTTACACGTCTTAGCCTTCAGCTTAGGTCGTGATCCCAGGGTCCTGGGATGGAGCCCCGCATTGGGCTCCCTGCTCAGTGGGGAGTCTGCATCTCCCTCTCCCTCTGCCCCTCCCCCTGCTTGTGCTCTCTCTCCCTCTCTCTCTGTCAAATAAGTAAATAAAATCTTTAAAAACAACAGTTCTCAAGTGCCTACTCTGCACCAGGCACCATCATGGAAGAGCAGCTGTCTCCTAAGAGGGCAGCCCACGGAGGGGACAGATCCAGAGGCAAATATTCAAACACAAGCCCGTTCCTTGTATTCCTGCGTGCACACCTGACTGAGCCCAGCCAAGCGTTAATAAGTCAGCCTCACCAATAAATCATTTCACGTGCTCTATTCTAAATATAGCACAGCTTCTTGCCTGTTCCAGTTATTATTGCTGCATTTAAAAAATGACCTCAAAACTTAGTGGTTTGGTACTTAATGCCACTGAATTGTACATTTAAAAATGGTTTAGGGGCACCTGGGTGGCCCAGTCGGTTAAACGTCTACCTTTGGCTCAGGTCATGATCTCAGGGTCCTGGGATCGAGCCCCACATTGGGCTCCCTGCTCACTGGGGAGCCTGCTTCTCCATCTGCCTCTGCCCCTCCACTCCCCGCTCTGCTCATGCTCTCTCTCTCTCAAATAAGTGACATTTTAAAAAAACTAATAAAAATGGTTAAAATGGTAAATTTTATATGTATTTTGCCATAATAAAAATATTATGGGAGAATAAAAAAAACTTTAATGGTTTGAAACAACCATTTAATGAAGCTCATAGATTCTGGGGGTGAGAATTTGGGGCAGGGCACAGTGGGAACAGTTCATTCCTGCTCCATGGTGGCTGGGCCTCAACTAGGGAGACTCGAAGGTGGGAGGTGAATCAGTGTCTGGGTCCTGGCATCATCTAAAGGCCCTTACATTTACATGCCTGGGCTGACTCAAAAACTAGGACTGCCTACTGGAGCACCCAAATGTGGCCTCTCCGTGTGTGCCTTTCTCACAACATTGTGGCCTCAGGGTAGTCAAACTTTTTATTTTTATTTTTTTCAAGTAGGCTCCACACCAAGTGCAGAGCCCAACACAGGGCTTAAACTCACAACCTTGAGATCAACACCTGAACTGAGATCAAGAATCAGATGTTTAACCAACTGAGCCACCCAGGCGCCCCTCAAACTCTTTATATGTTAGCTCAGAGCACCTCACATGAGTGTTTCAGTAAAAAAGGGGGAAAAAAGACAAAACCTGTATCCCATTTATGGCCTAACCTTGGAAGTGTAACTTCTGTCATAACCAGAGTAGTCATAAATCTACCCAGATTCAAGGTTAGGGGGTGGGTAGAATTAAACTTCATGTTTTGATGGGGGAGTATTTAAATTACGTTGTAGAAAAACCTGTGTGAAGGGAGATCTTGTTGCATCCATTTCTGGAAAAATACACTCTGCCATACCACCTTTCTAAATGGGCCAAAAGCAAAGAAACCACAGAAATAGCACTGGAAGAGGCCTTAATGAACACATAATCCGCCTACCCTCAGAATGAGAAATTCACTCCTGAGAGGATCCTTCCTCAGGCTGGTAGAGTGCCAAGGGCATGAGGCTGAATAGATAGAGATGGTGGTGTCTGGTTGGCATTCTATCAGTTCCCGACTGTGTATGATCTCAGAGTAGTAAGGCTTTTCACCACTGGGAACTCTAACTTCCTCATCTTGAAAATGGAGGTAATTCTTGATCATGTTTCATCAGTGTTGTTTTGAGAACCACGTAAAATATCTTATGTGAAGACAAGTATGTTGCAAAAATGTCCACAAACTGACCCCACAGGTGGACAGCCCCATCTGGCAATGCAACAGGGGAAGACCATGTATTTCCCATTTATCTTTGCCACTACTCTTTCCCATTGCAGCCACCCTCCTGGTTTTGCTTGCCTGTCTGAGGTAGAAGAGACAGATGGAAGCTCAGGGCAAATGACCTAGATGGAGTCACACAGCTAAGAAAGAAGTCAAAACCCAGATTCTTCGGGGATGTTAAGACTTGCCATTCTACAGTCCCCCCAGCCACTGACATTTTCTCTAACAGGTGACTCTGACCTTAGCTGAGAGGCATGGCACAGATTACAGCCAGTTTCTAGGGTCACACTGCTGGGTTCATATCCTAGCTACACCACTTCGCAGCTGGGTGACCTTAGGAAAGATAATTAATTCTCCCCCATGTGTAAAATGGGAAGACTTCCCACACAGGGTTACGAAGTAACCAAGTTAACATAAGCCATTTAAAATGTGCCGGGCACATAACAAGCACTTTGTGTTTGCTTCTGCTACAACCACTGTGTACTTAAATATATAAGTCCTAAATGTTTTAAGGTGAGGAAGTAACACCCAAGAATGTAGTGAAATGTAACGGCGGAAGTAGCTCCTTGAAATGACAAATCTATTTTGGAGAAAGCTTTAAAAAGAAGAAAACCACAAATCTCTACCATTTGTCAGCGAAAAGTCTATGGAACTGCAGGCAAAATAAAGGTCTCTGACCCCTACAGTTCCAGTTTTATTTATCGCCTCCGTGAAGTCTGCAGAGACTGTCACAGAGGGGACAGTCTTGAAAAGCCCATTTACGTGACCCCACTCGGCGCAGCCCACCCCACGTGGACTCCTCGCCCTGCCGCTTCCACTTCCGCTTCCAGCCCTTTACCCACCCCTTTCCCATTCGGCGCCCTAGAATGACGTCATAAGCGGGCGCGGACGCGCAGAAACCAGCGCCTGCGCGTGCGCTTTGTGCAGGCAGCGGCCCACGGCTTGTCACCGAGCCTGGCGACTGCAAGGCGGCGGGGGTCCCAGGGCTGCTGGGGCCGAGTCTATAGCGTGAGGCGTCCTTGAGCTGAGAGGACCATGAACCGCAGTCGGCAGGTGACGTGCGTGGCCTGGGTCCGCTGCGGCGTGGCCAAAGAAACACCAGACAAGGTGAGGCCTGGTCGCTCGGAGGTAGGGGGAGCGGCCTCTTGGCGGCATCCGCGTCCAGGCCCGCCTGGAGAACCTGGACCCGCTACACGCGGCCCTGGCCTGGCTGGTGTGACTGGGCGGGGTGCGGCCGGCTTTGGCCTGATTTGGTGAGGGGCGCTGCGGCTCTGGGGCGGGAGTCGGGGGTCGCGCCCCACACGGTCCCGTCCCGGGAGTCCAGCCCCACCCCCCCGAATTCACGCGCACGTGGGCCTGGCGGGCGGGAAGGGGGCGGGGTTTTGCGCAGAGTGGGAAATCTCCCAAAGCCGTATTGACCCAGTGAAGCTTCGCGCACACCCTAGTGCGTGTTCAGGCATAGCGGGAGAGGGAGCACGTGTGTGACACCACTTTGCACTCGTGTGCTCGGCGTTCGGAGCAGGACGAGAGCTGTGGTGTAGAAAAACTCGCATGGAGACTGATGTCGTGAGGCTGGCAGTTGAATTAGGAATTTCTTACAGTAATCCAAGTGAGATGTTGTGACAGTGGGGGATGAGAGGTAAACATGACATATTAAGAAGGAATATCCTACAGAAGTTCAAGAATGAGTCTATGGTAGAGGTGAAGATTATTTAAGTTGTTCAGCTGATACTTGTTAAGTGCTTTCTGTGTTTGGGGCATTGTTCAGGGTCCAGGGATAGGCATAAACAAAACAAAAATTCCCTGCCTTTATGGAGTTGACATGTGCATATATGTCAATGGAGGAAATGCTATGAATGAAAGAGGTGGGCGTTGGATTGAATGTAATTGGGCCAGTGATGACAGAGGTGAGAAAAGTGATAGGAATGTAAGTGGCTGGGAGGTGAAGTTCACAGGAATGAGGGATTGGAAGAGCCCCTGAAGGTTTAAAATTCCACCAGCACACAGACTGTGCTTGTTTTATTCACCAGTTTCTCTGGTGTTTGGCTCCAGTAGGTACTTATTGCATATGTATATATAGAGAGAGAGAATAGGGCCAGGAAATTATCTCATTAGAAATTATTGAAGGAAGTATTAAAAAGGGGCATGTAACCTTAAATTTTAAAGGCTATATGAGTTCCAAACATGTCTACACACTGGAACCACTTGGGGAACTTCAAAAAATACTGATGCCTGGGGCACCTCACTAGCTTGGTTGGTGGAGCCTAGGCTCTTGATCTTGACCTCTGAGTTCGAGTGCCACATGCCCTCCCTACCCCCATTGGGCATACAGCTTACTTTAAAAAAAAAAAATTACAGTGCCTGTGCCCCGTCCCACATGTTGTGATTTAATGGGTCTGGAGTGTGAGAAGATTCCCCCCACGTGGTTTTAATTGCAGACAGGTTTGGTAACCACTGCTTGAAGAGTTTGTTTATTCTACAGAATCAAAATAGGAAGAGATTAAGTTTATTCTACAAAATCCCAGAAAAACTGAGATCAGTGAGAGTAATTAGAAAAATAAGTATCTTAAGAAAAATCTTTTTTTTTTTTAAGATTTTACCTATTTGACAGAGAGAGAGACCGAGAGAGGGAACACAAGCAGGGGGAGCGGGAGAGGAAGAAGCAGGCTTCCCGCGGAGCGGGGAACCCGATGCGGGGCTCGATCCCAGGACCCTGAGATCATGACCTGAGCCGAAGGCAGACGCTCAACGACTGAGCCACCCAGGCGCCCCAAAGAAATATCTTTTAATTAAACTTAAAAGCCCTTAATTTCTGAAACAATGAATGTCATCCCTCAAGAGGATTTCCATATTACTAGAGGTAGTTTAGTGCAAACTGAGTGCTTGACTGATTCATCGTCTGTCATCAAGCATCCATTCCTGCCATGGGCTGAGCCCTGAATTATGTGCATAAACAACGACAAGTTGATTTCTGTCTTCAAGGAGCTTACAGTTTAGCAGTGATGGGATGTTTTAAAAGGTACTGAAGATGGATTAGGTGAAGGAATGCCAGTTTTGAAGTGAAGAGAATGAGTCCAATGATCCTTTTGAACAGGATCTCCCAAGTGGAGAGTCTTAAAGGCAGCTAGAAAGATGGAACTGGGAGGGGAGCCTGGGAGGCTCAGTTGGTTGAGCGTCAGACTCTTGATTTCAGCTCAAGTCATGACCTCAGGGTCGTGAGATTGAGTTCTGCTGCGTCAGGCTCCAGGCTCAGCAGGGAGTCTGAAAAAAAAGGGGGAAGAAAGATGGAACTGGAGTATGGGACTAGAGAAGGATGAGTTTGGGATAGTCAGTTCAGAGGTGATAGTTTTAGTCTTCAGAATGAATGAGCTTTGCAAGGAGGTGACAGCATGTGACTCATAGTGAATATTTGGCAGTGAGAACCGGGAAAAGAGTAGGGGACTAAGGCAAGGGTGGTTTGTTTAGGAATACCCATAGGGAAAATGAGAAGTAGCCGAGAAGAAATCAGAATAATTGAAAGAAAACGAGATGGACTATCACAGAAGCCAATTTATACAAGTTAGTCCTTTTTGAAAAGTCTGGGAAGTAGACTGAGCAGCTTTTTTTTTTTTTTTTTTAACAGTTTCAGGTGGGAAATGGATTTAATTATAAAGATCTGTGAAAATTCCATTTACGGTAAATTTAGGGAGTCTGGATTGAAGTTTGATTCTTGATGTCTTTTGAAGTTATATTTTACAGTAGTTTGCAAACTTTTTAATTCAGAGATTTATAATGATTTCCTTAACTGTATGGTAATGAAATGTTTGCTCTCTTATAGGTAGAACTTAGTAAAGAAGAAGTAAAACGTCTCATTGCTGAAGCCAAGGAAAAATTACAGTAAGTTTAGGATTGTTGATGTCTAAAGTCCAGATGAAATGTAAATTTTAAACAGTGATGACAAGGTGGTCTTATCATCAAATGGTACCATTTGGGTGACTTACCCTTTTTGTTCCTTGGCATAGAGAAGAAGGTGGCAGTGATGAAGAGGAGACAGGCGATCCTTCAGAAGATGGCATGCAGAGCGCACGTACCCAGGCACGACCAAGAGAGCCCCTGGAAGATGGTGACCCAGAGGATGACAGGACGCTGGATGATGATGAGCTGGCTGAGTACGACTTAGATAAATATGATGAGGAAGGCGACCCAGGTTAGAGTTCACTCACTTCTCGTTTTTAATCACAAGCTCAGTGTATTAGATCATGCTTCTACTGTTTCTGAGCTTTTGTTGTCCTTTACGCCAGTTAAATAATCTGGCTCAAGGCTAGGGCAGATAGCATGTTTCCTAAACTAGTTTAGAAAATAAGCTAACCCACTATAAACTAAGATCTAAAAAAGCATAGTATTGTATATTTATTGCAAGTAGTGGGTATGATCTATAACTCAGGTTTGGGGATGGGCAAAATGGGCAGAGGGGAGTGGGAGATAAAGGCTTCCAGTTACGGAATGAGTAAGTCTTGGGAATGAAAGCTACAGCATAGGGAATATAGTCAAAGATGCTATGATAGCGCTGTATGGTCACAAATGGTTGCTACACTTGGGAGCGTGACATGATGTATAAGAAATGGTAAATCAGGGGCGCCTGGGTGGCTCAGTCGGTTAAGCATCTGACTTCAGCTCAGGTCATGATCTCGGCGTCCTGGGATCATGCCATGTGTCGGGCTCCCCGCTCAGCAGGGAGTCTGCTTGTCTCTTTCCCTCTACCTCTCTTGCTCGTGCTCTCTTTCTCTCTCTCAAATAAAATCTTTAAAAAAAAAAAAGAAAAGAAAGAAATTGCTTCTTAATAATCCCCACACTGTGTGGATTATTGACCGTCTTTCTCACCCAGTTGAAATTCCCATCTCTGTTGCCTATCAGATGTTTAAGACCAAATAGTCCTGCCTCCCCTTTAAGTAGCTTTCCCTAACAGAGTATATTCTTCTCCTGAGTTTTATGTTAGTTGGGGTCTACTCTAGGTCACCCTTGCAGATACGCCGTAAGAGAATTCCAGTTGGAGATAAGTTTAGTGAAAGAGGCATAATAGCACCTCTTCCAGATTCACAGCAAATTAGCACATCAGCAGTTCTGAGAACTCTTGCAATAAAGAAACCCAGTTAACTTTGTGAAACCCATCATTTTTTTATTTGATTTGACCAGGCAACCCTTTTTCTGTGTCGATTCCAGTGCTTTAGGATAATTTTATCTCTTTTTAATAATGACATTTTAATAATAACTACACTTTTTGGGGGGGGGAGGGGCAGAAGGAGAGGGAGAGAGAATCTTAAGCAGGCTCCATGCCCAGCACGGAGCCCAATGTGGAGCTTCATCTCACAACCCGAGCTGAAATCAAGAGTCAGACGCTTAACTGACTGAGCCATCCGGGTGCCCCATAACTCTACTTTTAATAATGACTACAAGGAGCAAGGTAGAGAACCTGAGCAGAGTGCTAATATTTTCTAAGAGAGAGCTTTACAGTTTAGTTTTATTAGAACATTGTGAATACCAAGACTGTCAGGTATGCATTCCAAGGTCAAATATAAATGGCGTTTTTGGTTTTTTGGTTTTTTAAGATTTAATTATTTGAGAGAGAGTGCGTGTGTTGGGGGGGAGGGGCAGAGGGAGAGGGAGAGAGTCTTAAGCAGACTCCCTGCTGAGCACGGAGCCTGATACAGACCCTGAGATCATGACCTGAGCCGAAACCAAGAGACATTTAACTGCGCCACCCATGCCCCCCTATAAATGGTTTTTAAATTCCTGTTTATTATTCAGTATTTCTTTTCCCGACTATGGATGATCCATTTAGTTATGAAATAGATAGTTGGAGCTAAGATGGGATACCTTAGGAAAATGCTTTTGTCGAGATGACTTTTCAATTTATGAATTCTTACAGATACTGAAACTCTTGGTGAATCTCTCTTGGGTCTTACAGTCTATGGAAGTAATGATCAAGATCCTTATGTTACTCTGAAAGATACGGTAAATATTTATGTGGCTTTTCTAATTATGCTTCTTAAGTGTTTGGAAAACCTTACCAAATATCTGCTTCTAGTTAATGACTTATTCTCTCCACTAGGAGCAATATGAACGTGAAGATTTCTTGATCAAGCCCAGTGACAATCTTATAGTTTGTGGCAGAGCTGAACAAGACCAGTGCAATTTAGAGGTGCACGGTAAGTGGGGGACAGCCCTTAGGGAAAGGTTCTCTAAGATGAAAGTAATCACTATAATAGTTACTATGTGCATTTTCAGGCACCAGATCCTGCTGGATCTCATTTAAGTTAATGATACACAGTCTGTAGATATGCTGGTCATTGTGCCTGGGTATGTATGGTCTGGTATGTCACTCGGACCTGACTTTTATTTATGGAAATAGGTCTCCTGGAAGGTGCTAATGGGGGGTGGGGGGGGAGTGTTAAGTTTTTTATTTGAACATTTTTGCCAGTTTTTCACTCCCCCTCTCTCCCCATTGGAGAAAACCTAGAAGTAAAGTCATATAAAAATACAGGAAACAGTTACAGTCCTATTACCCTGAGGTAACTTGTGCCTTGGTTTTTTACTCTAGTCTCTTTTCTGGGTACTTTTTCTTTATGTGGTGAAGATTATACTCAATAGACAGGTTTTTAGTCTGCTTTTTTCCACAGAGTCATTTAAGATATTTCCCCTTTATTTCTTCACAAAAACTCAATGCAAGGGCTTCCATTCCTCTGGTCTCCTTTCCCAGTTAAAGGAATATTTGCACACAACCAGAGGTGAATGCTTTCAATCTGGAGTAGGCACTGATCTGAATTTTTCTTTTTTATTTGGGTTTTTAAATCGGATATACTTAACGTTGATATTTATTAGGTTAATCATTAATTGAATAACTGTTTTCTAAAAAAATAGACCTTCAAGATGTCTACAATACTCTGCCTCTAGATTTTCCCTTTTGTTTTTCTTGTCCCTTCTCCTGTGCACATCCTCAGACATGTTTGTCCTTTCTCAACAATCTACTAGTCATCTCTTTAAAATTTGAAGCTTTATAGATATTAGGCTAAGGCCTTTTATTATAGAAACACAGTTGCAGGGGCGCCTGGGTGGCTCAGTCGTTAAGCATCTGCCTTCAGCTCAGGTCATGATCCCAGGGTCCTGGGATCGAGCCCCGCATCAGGCTCCCTGCTCAGCAGGAAGCCTGCTTCTCCCTCTCCCACTCCCCCTGCTTGTGTTCCCCCTCTCACTCTCTCTCTGTCAAATAGATAAATACATAAATAATCTTAAAAAAAAAAAAAAACATGGTTGCATAGCTCGAAAATTAAAATCTTTATGTTTAATGTTTTTTTTACATCTTCTAGGTTACCTTGTCACTCCATTTTGTAGCGTGGCTTTCTGGAACTCTTCACAATCTTTAAGGCTGCCTTCAGGAAGTCTGTAGATTAGGCCATTTTAATCCCATGGCCCATTGTGGATCTATTTATAAAATGAAAAGGCTTTAAATAGCAGAAACCTCAGTGTAAAGTTATTCTTCTAATGATCTTTGAACTTTTTACATATTTCAAATGAAAACCTTGTGGTGAAATTTTTAAAAAACCAATTCTAATTTCAGAAAATTGAAACTCTGTTCACAGTTTGCCATCAATTTTTATACATTTTCCTATGAGAGCTTACTGGAGTCATTCCTTTGAATTTAGTGAGTATCAGAGAGGGGTTAAGAAGTTAAAGTAAAAATGGTATTCCTACTTCCTTTAAGCTAGGTCATTAAAGAGATATTTGGATCTGGTGTGGATCTCCAAATTATTTAGCATATCTCTAGGCAAGAATAAATTCAAAATTGCACTCAAAAGCTGATCTGAATGTTGATTTGACATGGATAAAAGATTTATTTTAAAACTTCATCATTTTTATCTAAAATGTAAGCTGAGTACATTGACCATAGTTAGGTTCTTGCAGGACCACAAGCTTACTACTTTGAACATTCATTGTGAAGTGATATGATAGAACATGACATGGAATCTGCTGATCCAGGATCTAACCCAGATGTAGAGGTCTGAAGAATTTTTTTAAGTTTTTATTTAAATTCCAGTTAGTTAACATACAGTGTAATATTAGCTTTGGCTGTACACTTCATACATCACCTGGTGCTCATCACAGCAAATGCACTCCTGAACCCCCATCACCTATTTCACCCATCCCCCTGCCCCGCCTCCATTCTGGTAACCATCAGTTCTCTATAGTTAAGAGTCTGTTTCTTGGTTTACCCCCTCTCTCTTTTTTTGTCCTGTTGCTTGTTTTGTTTCTTAAATTCCACATATAAGTGAAATGATACGGTATTTGTCTTTCTCTGACTGACTTATTTCATTTAGCATGATACTCTCTGGCTCCACCCATGTCATTGCAAATGGCAAGATTTCATTCTTTTTGATGGCTGAGTAATATTCCAGTGTGTGTGTGTGTGCGCGCGCACGTGTATGCATGTACCCGTCTTTTTCCATTCATCAGTCGATGGACATTTGGGCTCTTTCCATAATTTGGTTGTTGTAATGGCACTATAAACATCGGGGTCCATGTATTAATAGTATACTATTTTTGTATTCTTTGGGTAAATACCTAGTAATGCGATTGCTGGATCGTAGGGAAGCTCTATTTTTAACTTTCTGAGGAACCCCCATACTGTTTTCCAGAGTGGCTGCACCGGTTTGCATTCCCACCAGGTTTGTAAGAGGGTTCCCCTTTCTCCACATCCTTGCCAACATCTGCTATTTCTTGTGTTGTTGATTTTAGCCATTCTGACACGTGTGAGGTGATCGCTCATTGTACTTTTGATTTATAGTTCCCTGATCAGTGATGTTGAGCATCGTTACATGTGTCTGTTGGCCATCTGTATGTCTTCTTTGGAAAAATGTCTATTCATGTCTACTGCACATTTTTTTTTTTTATATGAGCAATCATCTGATTTATAAAAAGATGCAACAATATTTAAAATGATACAAAATATCAATTTCAAAACATCAAAAAGTGAGTGTTTTTAACCATAGTCAGCTCATAACAGAGCAAATGGGTAAGAA